GATCTCCAGTGATGGAGTGCCCACGATTTCTGGAGGCAAGCTGTTCCACTGGTTAATTGTCCTCACTGTCAGGAAGTTTCTCCTTAATTCCAGGTTGCTTCTCTCTTTGATCAGTTTCCAACCATTGTTTCTTGTACTGCCCTCTGGTTCTTTGGAGAATAATTTGACCCCCTCTTCTTTGTGGCAACCCCTCAAATGCAGTTCTCAAAATAAGAAAAATAAATGGTCTTGAAATAGCTGACCTGCATACGTGTTACTCCCTTTAGGGATACACACAATTCACAAAACACAGAAAAAGAGAACTACCAAGCAAAAGAACTTAAAAGACAGAAGGCAGGCTGTCACACCATTCAATATTACTTCTCATACTTTTTTATATTTGCAAATGAGATGGAGGACATATAAATTTATCAAGGAATAAATAAAATAAATTCCTTTTGAGATCAGTGTATTCAGATCATCAAAAAACTTTTTCTCTATTTTTATAGGTACTTTTGGAATAAAAAAAAGGAATTTTGGTAAAATATTCATTTTCATAGTAGCTATTCTTCTTAACACTGATAGTTGTAAGTTTTTCCATTTTTCCAAATCTAATTTTGTTTGATTTTGTAATTTTATATAATTATTTTCTTTTGTTGTTGCATATCTTGCTGTTAAGTATATTCCCAAATATTTAATTTTCTTAACTTTCAATAGTTTAAAAGTTGTCTCCAGCAGTTCTTTTAGAATAAATATGAGGTCATCCGCAAACGCTTGTAATTTATAGCTTTCATCTTTTATCTCCATTCCTTTAATTTCTGCATCTTGTCTGATATTTCTATTGAGAACTTCCAAAGTTAGTATTACCTTTTCACAGGGCTTTTTTTCTCATAGAACGCACAGAACAGAGTTCCGGCACCTTTTTTGGATGGAACCTTGTAGGCAAGGCAGGTTGTATGACATGTGTGAGTTCCGGCACCTTTTTTTTTTTTAAGCACTGCCTTTTCATATTAAAATTTCTTACTTCTCTATTTCTGAAAATCATAAAACTTCAATGAAACCGTTCTCAGTCCGTCCTTCCTTTTGACTGATTCATTCTTTTCTCATAATTAGTGGTAGAATCCTATCTTCACACATTCTGTCTTAATAGTGAAACTATTTCAATGTACTAATTTCATACTGGTCACTCACTTTCATATTTCATTCACATTTATTCATTACCAATTCATTCTTGATTGTTGTTTTGCCATATTTCTTAACTAATATAGTCCCTTTGAATTCAAATCAATTCAAATATTTTTCTCTTATATACCCATGCCTCACTTTCATAAAACAAAGTGAGTAGAAGCATTTTATTATACTAATAAATACAATTGAAATTTAAAAATATAATAAAGCTGGCCAATTTTAATGGAATAAGTATTATATGAATAGAATAACATTGTTTTTAATATGCAAATATAATAAAAATTAGAATTATAAATGAAATAGAATTATGAAGCAGATAATCTCTCATCAAGTTTAGTCATTGTTATTCAGAACATGTAGTTATTTCTTTTCTACAGTAAATTACAGAATAGAATATCTTTATTGTCATTATGTAACTCACAACGAAATTAAGTGCTGTTCACAGTGCACACTACAAATAAGTAAAAACCACAAATAAGAACATACATTATATACATTACATAGAGGTTCTACTGAGATAGCCATCTAGAGCACACGATGTCAAGAGATAAATACAACTTTTTCCCATGTGAGGGAATGAAAAGAAAACAATGTACCATTTTTGGTTGAAAATGCATCTTTTTTTTTCAATGAGCACAGAAACAAAGACAGAGATTGATTTAAAAAGGTTTTTTAAATAGGTTTTTTATTTTAAAAAATGGATACTTTATCAAAAGTCCAGGATACCAGAGTTCACTGTAAACTCTGGGATAATTAGATAAATAGATGATAGATGATAGATAGATAGATAGATAGATAGATAGATAGATAGATAGATAGATAGATAGATAGATGGATGGATGGATGGATGGATGGATGGATGGATGGATGGATGGATGGATAGATAGATAGATAGATAGATAGATAGATAGATAGATAGATAGATAGATAGATAGATAGACCTTCATTGTCATTTTTTTTACTGTGGGCACAATGGCACACATTAAAAATGAAATTTAGTTGCTTGCTCTCAAAGTGTACATATGCATATAAGTGTGGCTTGAGCAGGACCGCAAAATTGTCTGGGACACTTCACAGCTTCTTCATGACCTGTTTTCCTTGTTACCTTCTGGGAGGAGGCTTCGTGGTACCTGAAGCAGAACATTCAGATTCAGTCACAGTTCTGTTCCATTTAAACATATTTAAACATGTATAACATTTTACATATTATAAACATATATAAACCTACACCCTTACATATAACTGACTTATAAATATTAATCATTGTCCATCTTGAATACATAATGGAAGGAGAAAGCTTTAGTGTTCACAAGATTAATAATGTATGGCAGAGGTCCCCAACCTTTTGGGCACCAGGGACCAGTTCCATGGAGAAAGGTTTTTCACAGACCGGAGAGTGTATGGTTTTGTGTGCTGCATGCATCCCATGGATGGGGCTTTGCTTGTTTGTGCGGATTGGTTGCTGGCATGCTATGGACTGGTACCAGTCCATGGACCGGGAGTTGGGAACCCCTGCTGTATGGAACAAAACTGTGACTGAAGCTGAATGTTCTGCTTCAGATACCACGAAGCCTCCTCCCAGAAGGTAACAAGGAAAACAGGTCATGAAGAAGCTGTGAAGTGTCCCAGGCAATTTTGCGGACCCTGCTCATGACACGCTTATATGGTATGTCCTAGATGGAAGGGAGGGAACTGCCAATAATCTTTTCAGCCATCCTCACCACTCTCTAGACCGCCTTCTTGTCTGAAGCAGTGATGCTTTCAAATTGAAAATGTTTAATCAGTTGAAAATATAGCCTGATTGTACACTGAAAAAAACTGCAGTAGAATATTCAAGCAATGAGTTATTTATTCAGTGTTAATGTTTTATGGAAAGTTTGCTCTCATTAGTTTTGGATAATGTTAGAACTGCCCTCAGAAAACTTATTTGAGATACAGACCTCCAAATAAATTTGAGCAAACACCTCATTATTTATCATATTTTTAAGGTTGACTCCTCTTAATTTTTATTGTTCAGAATCATGATTCTAAGATTTCATAGTGCTTCCACATTAGCCAGACTGGATGCATTGTCCTCTACAATCTTTTTGGGACCCTTTAAAGGTAGTTCTACGTCTCTCTAGTTATGTCCTTTCCATAATGGCTCAATGGAACTTTAAGCCATATGCTGCTATGCTTGTCCTTACATAAGACTTTAGATAGACCATTTATTCTATCTTGGAAAAAACTGCCAGGCAAAGAACATGATTTCTATTTATTGTTAATTTTTTCAGGCAAGGACTTAAAAATATCCTTCCAAGTAGCCCAATTTTGTATTACTATTCATACATCTTGTCATACCATACCATAATTAAGCCTGGATACTCATTTATTCATTATTTTTATAATAATATTTTATTTTTTATTGTAAAACTTATACTTATTTTTGTTTTATATATAGAGAGAGATACATGCAACAATTATAGTGATATTTTCCTATATCTAACTTTATAAACTGATTTAATTTGATATATTTAATGCTATAACTTCCGAAGAGTTTCTTTTAAGAATCTGTTTTATCGAGCTTAGATTTAAAAAGTGGATACAATGATTTATTTTAACTATTAGGAAAATATGCTACTTAATAGACTATTACAAATCTAAGAATTAGGTTTGATGCCTGATTCAGAATTTTGATTCATACTAAAGACAGAGGCTGCAGTAGAAGGTAGTGATTCTTTTGTAAATCTGTAGGCATCAGAATAAGAAAAATAAAAAATAACTTACCCTCCCCTTCCCAGTTCTGAATGTTTTGCTTTTCTTCATAATGTTATCCCTTATGAGATTTTCATTATTTTTTTCTTATTATGGACCATCATCGTTAACCTTTATTTCAATGCATCAGTGAATTTATATGAATCTTTCAAATCATGGGGGAATATAAGAGCTGGACACATCTAGAAGTTTGTCAATTTTTTTTTTTTTTTTTACATTACTCAGATAAGCTCTGCCATTTCAAGAGCAATGTCTAATATTTATGAGGAGAGACTGCCCTCTAGTGGTAATAAACAATAAAAGATTACTAAGTAACATAATCACTTGCACTGTGTATTATTATGTATAGAAAACCAATCTTTTTGTTTTCCACCAGACCTTTTCTAAGATTACAGCTTCTAGTTTCCAACCCTTTGGGAAACCGTGAAGCAAAAGAAGTTAAATTAAATTCATAAATAAATTAAAATAAGCGATAATATTTAGCTATCATTTCACCGGAGAAATAATTGTGTACTAATAGTACAAATAATTCTGTACGATTTTGGAGTCTGTTTCTAATAGATGACAAGTTTATGTAGATGTGGGAAATATTTGCACACAAAAACACAAAGGCTGCACAATCAGGATGTCCATTGCCATAGATGTAATGATCCCAATTACTAGAATGCAGTTACAATCTCTTTAAACAAACTCAAAGGGATCGGTAAGGCACAACTTACAACTACATATTTATTCAGTGCCTTCATCTATCTGTGTTTAAGGCTTGCTTTGTTGCTTTAACCATTCAATCATATCTGACTCTTGGCAACTTCATAGGCAGGTGCTCTCCATGCTACCTTCTCATGCACAGCTTCTTTCAGTTGTTGAATGTTCATCTTTGTATCAGCTTTGATGTTATTAAGGGCATTAATTTAATTGAGATACAACATAAAGAAATATACATACAGCCTAGAAAATACCCTATCAATCCATTTAGAGATTGCGTCTTATAGTGTGCCAAAGGGACTGTTGTAGCAAAATTCTATACAATTCCCTGTGTAGATTAATTATTTTCCATGTATAATATAATGTCTAAAGAATCAAGTGAAGATGAAGAGACCAAGTTAAATTTCAAATCAGTTGTAACTCATACTCATACTTCCTGATTTAATCAACTTCATAGAACTTCTGAAAGATAAATGAGACATGAGCTATATATGCTGCCTCAAGACTAAAAACAGAGGTGTTGATTTTTATGTACAAAATTTTAAAACCAATTACTCTTAAAGGAATATTAGAAATAAGATCTTTTTAGCTGAAGATGTCTCATTCAGTTGATTTCAACCAAATTGAAGTTGATAAGTCTTTCTGTTTTAAAGATTCCACTTGCTACAGCCCATAGGAAAAGACTATATAAAACTTTTATGGTATAAGCATGTCTCTCTGGACCACAGAAGGATTTATGCACAATTTTTTAAAAAATGAATTCATAAGCAATTACATCTGCAAAATACTCCTACTGTGAATACAGACATAAAGGACCCTTAATAGGTGGACATACGAACAAATTATAACTGCATGCCATGGATTTGTTATTAACGTGATGATTCCAACAACAATCATGAGGATCAAGCTATTTTTAAATATTAATTTTTTTATTTAGGGTAAAGGTGAATGAAAGAACAGATACTATAGCAGCGGTGTTAAACTGCTGGCCCACGGGCCAGTTTCATCATACCGGAGCCGTGCCCACCCCATTGCCAGCAATAGCGAAAAAGCTCCGATACGTTGCACGACATCATATGACGTCGCAGGTTTGACATGTCTGTGCTATAGCATAAAGAAGATAGTGTGGTCTTGTTGTCATTGTTTATTGTGGATACTTAGGTACATTGATAGCATCTGGCCTTTCCTAGTCTTTAATAATAATAATAATAATAATAATAATAATGATGAGGATGAGGATGATGATGATAATGATGATGAATCCAAATAGTTAATAATAATAATAATAATAATAATAATAATAATAATAATAATAATAATAATAATAATAATAATAATAATAATAATAGTAAAGTTGGAAGGGACCTTGGAGGTCATCTAGTCCAACCCCCTGCTCGGGCAGGAAACCCTACACCATTTCGGACAAATGGCTGTCCAGTCTCTTCTTAAAAACTTCCAGTGTTGGAGCATTTACTGCTTCTGGAGGCAGCTGTTCCACTGATTAATTGTTCTCACTGTCAGGAAGTTTCTCCTTAGTTCTAGGTTGCTTCTCTCCTTGATTAGTTTCCACCCGTTGCTTCTTGTCCTGCCTTCAGGTGCTTTGGAAAATAGCTTAATTCCCTCTTCTTTATGGCAGCCCCTGAGATATTGGAATACTGCTATCATGTCCCCCCTTGTCCTTCTCTTCGTTAAACTAGACATACCCAATTCTAGCAACCGTTCCTTATATGTTTTAGCCTCCAGTCCCCTAATCATCTTTGTTGCTCTTCTCTGTACTCTTTCTAGAGTCTCAACATCTTTTTTACATCGTGGTGACCAAAACTGGATGCAGTATTCCAAGTGTGGCCTTACCAAGGCATTGAAGAGTGGTATTAATACTTCACGTGATCTTGATTCTATCCCTCTGTTAATGCAGCCTAGCACTGTGTTGGCCTTTTTGGCAGCTGCGCACACTGCTGGCTCATATTTAACTGATTGTCTACTAGGACTCCGAGGTCCCTCTCACAGTTACTACTATTGAGCATGGTGCCACCTATGCTGTACTTGTGCATTTGGTTTTTCTTGCCTAAATGTAGAACCTTGCTTTTTTCACCATTGAATTTCATTTTGTTAGTTAGTGCCCAGTGTTCAAGTCTGTCCAGATCCTTCTGTATCTGAAGCCTGTCTTCTGGAGTGTTGGCTATTCCTGCCAGCTTGGTGTCATCTGCAAATTTGATGAGTTCCCCATCTATCCCTTCATCCAAATCGTTGATGAAGATGTTGAAGAGTACTGGGCCCAGAACAGAGCCCTGGGGCACCCCACTACACACTTCCCTCCATATAGATGCAGTTCCATTGAGGACCACTCGCTGAGTACGGCCGGTCAGCCAGCTACGGATCCATCTGGTGGTGGTTCTGTCTACCCCACATTTTTCTATCTTGTCAAGTAGTAGGTTGTGATCTACTTTATCAAATGCCTTACTGAAGTCCAAGTAAATTATGTCCACAGCATTCCTCTGATCCACTAATTTTGTCACTTGGTCAAAGAATGCAATAAGATTTGTCTGGCATGATCTATTTTTGACAAACCCATGTTGGCTTTTAGTAATGACTTTGTTTGCCTCTAGGTGTTCATTGATTCGTTGTTTGATTATCTTTTCCAGGATCTTCCCAGGTATTGAGGTCAGGCTGATAGGTCTGTAATTTCCTGGATCCATTTTTTTTCCTTTTTTGAGGATGGGAACTACATCAGCTCTTTTCCAGTCCTCTGGTAGTTCCCCTGTGTTCCAGGATCTTTGAAAAATATAGTTCAGTGGCTCCAATATCACATCTGCCAGTTCCTTGAGAACTCTGGGGTGTAATCCATCTGGTCCTGGCGATTTGAACTCATCTAGGCTGGACAGGTGCTCCCTAACCATTTTCTTGCCTATCTTAACTTGTGTTTCTGTTTTGTTTTTTATGGCACTATTTTTGATAGGTTGGTCTGTTTTTTCCCTTTGTGTAAAGACAGATGCAAAAAATGAGTTAAATAGTTCTGCTTTCTCCCTGTTGCTTGTCACCTTCTTGCCACTTCCACCCACTAATGGACCAATCATTTCCTTCACTTTTTTCTTGTTTTTTACATGTTGAAAGAAGCTTTTTTTGTTATTTTTGACTTTGGTCGCAAGCCTTAGTTCATTTTGAGCCTTGGCTTTCTTCACTTCATCTTTGCAGGCTCGGGCTATTTGCTGATATTCTGACTTAGTTATGTTCCCCTCTTTCCACTTTCTGTACTTGTCCTTTTTATCTTTCAATTTGTCAGAGAGTTCTTTATGCAGCCATGCTGGTTTCTTTTGAGAGCTGTTATTTTTCCTCTTTGTTGGTATTGTGCTAGACTGTGCTTTTATTATCTCATTTTTCAAAATTTCCCAAGCTTCTTGAGTTGTTTTCCCCTTGAGGATTCTCATCCATGGAATCCTTCCCAAGCCCTCTCTAAGTTTATTGAAATTAGCTCTCTTGAAGTCCAAGACTCTAGTTTGACTGTGTTCTATTGGTTGTGCTTCTATAATGTTGAATTCTAATATTGCATGATCACTTCCTCCCAGGGTTCCTATGGCTTCAACACCGTCTATCATTTCATCAGTTGTGCTCTGAGAGTCCTTAAGTCCAGCATCTTGATGGGAGAAATGCCTGTTTCTTGACAAAACAAGCACAGAGCCACTAAATTTAATTTGAAGTCTTCTGCTCATTCTGCTGAGCAGACCTGGCCTTCTGCCTCAAAGACCTTTCCTGAAGTTGCATTGGAATTAAATGTAACATCAAAGAGATATCTTTGGTGAAATGGGTGGAGATATATATATATATATATATATATATATATATATATATATATATATATAATGAATTAATCACTCTAGAATTTAATTCTAATGCAATAGCAAAATTCTGAGTATAAGATCTTCTAGTAATAAAGGAAGTAATGTTTCATACAGAATAGTAATGGCAGCCATTTACTTTCCATAGGATAACTAAAACACTGCCAGATTATCTAAACAGGATTTTCTGGTGAAGAATTAAAATGTCAGTTTAGATTACTACACACTTTTCTCTTTTATTGTTCAATGTTTCTAATAAAGCAGAAAACCATTTCTCTATTTAATTCTTACCCAACTGCTGAAGGCATAAAGCAATAAATATTGGTCTTCCCCGGCTCCAAAAAAGGAAACTTTAATCTTGCTAGAGTCCTCACCATTTTATTTTGTTTAACTGTCCCTAATCAAGAGATTGTGGCATGCTACCCATATGTACAGTGACCATATTTTCTTGAAAAATATAAAGGACAAATCTGAAAAAGAGGCAAATATGAAAAGGTTCATAAGGATAAAAAAATTACTGTTTACTTTGCTTTATAAAGGAAAATTCACATTCAGAATCAAGAAAAACTGTTTAAAAATGCATATTCTGATAAAAATATCTAAAATCAAAGAGTATATGTAAACTTATTTTAAAAAGACAACTCAATTTCCATATTTTTCACATTAATGTGAAAGGCTGAGCATTAAGTGCTACCATTTGTACAACACAAGTTAAATTACCAAAATAAAGTGCTTGGAAAATAAATAAATCTAAAAGACAGCTTTCTGAAATAAAGGACTGTCCTTTTTAATATAGGATATATAGTCATGGTATCCATTTGTGTATTATACAGAAGTTTTTAAAATCCTGCTGAAAAGCAGTTGCTTTGCAAATGTGATAGCTCTTTCACAGAGTGATTTTATTATGATTTGCAGGACTCATCCAGCATAAAAACTGATCAGAGCAAAAAAAAGCTGTTAATGACATATTGAAATTATTGTGGTGGTTTATTATGTGTGATGACAACTCAATCTCCAATTTCTTAGAATAAGCAACATTTGTCTTTTGTATCTGAGCAATAGGCATATGGTAGATTTGCTATGTGTTCATTCAAGTAAAGCAAACAGACCCAAAAATCATTTGCTAATTTTTATTTAAGTATCTCTTAAATCAAGCTTGGCATAGGTATTTATATAGGATCTCCTGCTCGAACAGGGGATTGCACTATACTACCATGTTTCCCCAAAAGTAAGACCTACCCCAAAAATAAGTGCTAGCTTGATTTTTGGGGTGGGCCTAATATAAGCCCTACTCCCAAAATAAGCCCTAAAAATCAAGCTAGGGCAGGGATGGGGGCTGGAGCTTACCTTTCAGCCAGGCCTCCCATGGATCGACACTTGCCTCACTGGCCCACTTCTTCTGTGGTGAAGAAGCAGCTTCATTCTGCAGCTGAGAATGAAGCTCCAGCCTGCATTTCGCAGATTGAATCCATAGCTCGGTTCTCAGCTGTAGAGGCCTTCCAGAAAGGCCTCTGACTGCAAAATGCAGGCCGGAGCTCCATTCTCACCGCAGAATGAAGCTGCTCCTTCAGCCGCAGAATAAGTGGGTTGGCTGGATGGAGCTATCAATGCCGCCGCCACGAGGTGAGTGTAAAAGATACCCCCCAAAACCTGGTGCCTCTTTTGGACACACACAAAAAAATAAGACCAGGTCTTATTTTTGGTGAAACACGGTATGTTCTTGGCAAATATATACCCAGAGAGTTGCTTAGCAGTGACATAAGAGTAGTTGGGATTACCTTATTTTGGGATTTTTGTTTTTAAATTTGATTCAGGCTAGAGACCCTGTTTTTCTGTTTTGTTTTGTTTTGTTTTTCCTGATCCAAATACTAAATTGATTCAGCCATGGCAATCATGTGCTAGTTATATAAGTCTCTGCAAAGTCAATTAACTCAGAGTCAGACTTATTAGAATTGCAATTATATTCAAATAAATGAACTATAACAACAGAATTGGACATTATTAATAATAATAATTGTATTTTCATGGACAGAATTAAAAGTTTGAATTTATCTTAACATGTTATCACATCTCCATATGTGTAAAAGGTTTTGTTTTGACTTTTTCCAGGAAAGGCCATTGACAGAAAACAAACAAACAAACCTAATGGATGGCACTGGGGTACTTTATAGAATATTCAGGACTTGTTGATTTTATTCTGGACAGAAGAAACAAATACTGAACTGTTTGTCAATGAATTCAGAGAGATTGAATAATGTTTTCTATTAATGAAATCCATTTGTAAATTTAACCCAAAATAACTGAAACAATAGAAATAAGAAATGCATAAGGAAAAAGTAGTATAGAAATTTCTTTTTTAAATTTAATTAGATTGAGGAATGCAAATCTATGCAAATACTGGAATGTGTAATGACTGCTAATCCTCACTATGGGAACACTTCTGTACAAAATATATCTATACTCATGCTCTTATTCCATTTGGGGATAAATATTATGATGCATATTATATCAGCACCATTTGCTATACCTCTCAATAACTTTCTGTACTTGCAAATCATCCTTGCTTCCACAGCATCCATTTAACTAACAATATAATATATTTAATAAAAGATGCTAACAATGATTAATTGAGTTCAAAATATGAGAAATTTATAACCTATAACTACTCTGTTAAATACTCTGGTTTACCATGCAAGCATTAGTAAATGTGGTTCAGCTGCCATCCAGTGGGTGATTTGTCATTTGCAACCATTGCAAATATTGAGAGTTGTGAATAAATCAGTGATGAAAGACCTAATTCTTTTTCTTCTTGTATTTTGACAAATATTCTGGCCATTTTCAAAACATTTTGAAATTGGGTTTATTAATATAATGGCAATAAGTTTCCAAAAAAGAGAGTATATGTAGCTCAGGGTTGAATTGTGGTGTTTGACTGATTGCTTGCAGATGTTTCATTACACAACCTGATAAAATCATCATGATGTTACCTTATCAGGTAATAAAATGTCTGCAAGCAAACAACCAAGATCAGAGAACACAAAAGATTCCACAAGAATGAGTTTATCTTAAACAGTCCATAAATCAGATGAAATCTTACACTAATTACTTGTTCCATTTTGCCAGCACAAATCTTGAGCATAGAAATTCAACAGATAATTGAATTATCTGTTGACTATCTAGCGGTCTCGGAAATAGTAAGCTAACAGTAACTTTGATTTTTAAGAAAATAAATATACATGAATTACAATACATGTAGATTTAAGTACATGCTAGACAACATGAACAGTTCATCATTTCTGAAGATAGGAATGTGTATGGTTTTTCTCAACCCATCTATAACCAGAATCTCCAATCACAATCCAATCAGAAACATTTTTACCCATCTATCAATGGAGAGACTACAGCATGGATTGATTACAAGAAGTCATTCAACTCCCTGTTACAAGATTGGGTAATCAAATGCCTAGAAATAACAGAAGTCAGTAGAAATATCAGAAACTTTGTGCAAAGATCAATGGCACAATGGAAGACGTGGTTGCTGGTCAATGGTGATAGAATGGGAGAGGTTAATATCAAGAGAGGAATATTTCAAAGACACTAATTATCACCACTACTCTTTGTCATAGAACTGATTCTCCAACAATAATAAATAACTCAGGCTATGGCTATCAAACATCAAAAACATCTGCCAGGCCCTCCCACCTCCTTTATATGGATTATCTGAAGCTGTGTGGAAAATCACCATCTGAAATAAAATCGTTGCTTAACACCACCTGTGTATTCAGTCAAGATATTGTGATGCAGTTTAGATTAGACAAATGTGCCACCCTGATCATCAAGGATTCAAGAAATAATATCAAGAATCTGGATGAAGATCACTATTTCAAACACTTGGACTTCCTTCAGGCTGGTAACATCAAGCACACTGAAGTCAATAAAAGGTTAGAAATGAATATATGAAGAGAATGAAGAAGATTTTAAAGTCCAAAATCAATAGTGGAAATACCTTCAAGGCAATTAATATGTGAGCAATTCTAGTTATTAAATACACAGCTAGAGTAGTGGACTGGACTCAAGCAGAACTAAAAGCCCTGGATAGGCAGACCATAAAAATAACAACAATGAATCATGCTCTTCATCTTCACAGCAATGTTGACAGACTCTACTTACCAAGGAAAATAGGTGGGCGTGGAATGTTGCAAGTGCATTAGACTAGGGGTCTTCAAACTTGGCCATAAAAGGGCCAAGTTTGAAGACCCCTGCATTAGACAGTTGAAGAAGAAAAAGGGGTATTGGAAGAATATTGAAGGACAGTGGAAAAGATGTGTTGAAGCTAATATACCAAGAAGGGGTCTTGAGGCTAAACCAAATGATGAATTATTAAGAGCACTAGGTATAACTACAGTGGTGGGATTCAGCCAGTTTGCACCGGTTTGGCAGAACCAATACCTAATTTTTTGTTGAGTTCGATAAACCATTTATGATAAATCTGTGTTTTCCAGAACACGTCTGGTTTTCGTTCAACTTCCTTCCAGTTGGGGGGAAAAAAATCAAAGGGAGGAGTGATGGAAACTAAATGGAGATGAGGTGCCTTCAATCACTTCACTCAGGCGAAAACTAGGTGGTGCTTCTCAGAAGTAATTTCAGAAATAGATGCTTCATCTCTCTAGTTTCCCGTTTGGTGTATATGGGAAAGGGGGCGAGACCACCAAGTATTAGCTGGGGTTGGGCTCTGGAACTTTTTCCTGTCTAGCTATACAGAGCACAACTAATGATGAAAAGCTCTTAAAGTGTTTTGTGATTTCATGCATTAAACTCTAATGTAGTTCTTTGTAGCACAACGGGCTTTCCTACTTTATACCAAGACCTATGATTTAAATTTAAATAGCAGAATTTCAATTTCATATATCAAACCTTAGTTTAGTGTTTTAATATAATAAGCACTGTTTAAGTGACAGGTGCTATTTCAGACAGCAAATAGCAGTTCAGTGGCAGCAACCTGTGATTTCATATAGCAAATGCTTATTTAGTTAAGCAATTTTGTCATTTTATGGAGTAAACTGTTATAAGTAGCAGAGATTCCATTACAATTGCTGTAAGTTCAGTGTAAGTGGAAAAAGGTTTTTCAAAGATGAACATAATATGTTCAGAGAATAGAAGTCGCCTGTTTCTAATATATCAGACACAATGACTATTAGTCTAATTGGTGTACCTCTAAATGAATGGGATCCTACTCCTACAGTGAAAAGATGGTTAAGGATAAATCACACAGCCGATGGTGCTTGGATAAAAGCAAAGAAAATTGCAAGTGAGGATGCCAATCAAGAAGCAATATGGAAATATCTTAAATAACAGTTTTATTGTTTTTTGTCATGTATTATTTACTACTTTTTCCTTAATATTTTAAAGCTCTTTCTTATAACATAATCCAGTTTTGTGTACCTCTTTTATTGTTCTTATTTAAGTATTAAATGCATGAAATAATAAAGTACCTTTTGGTTTATCTTTTTTTATACTTAAACAGTCATAAGGGGAGAACCAGTTGTTAAATTATTTGAATCCCACCTAATATCTAGCTTTAAAAAATGAAGGATTGCAGATTACATGTTACATGAGGCAAAGTCACAGAAAAGAGGGGGTTGTCTTATTCTCCAAAGCAGGGGTCGGCAACCTTGACAATTTTAAGACTTGTGGACTTCAGCTCCCAGAATTCTGGAAGCTGGAGTCCACAAGTCTTAAAGTTATCAAGATTGCAGACCCCTGCTCCAAAACACCTAGGACAGGACAAGGAACAATAGATGAAAGAGCATTAAAGGGAGAACCAACCTGGAACTAAGAAGATTTTTTTCTCCAAGCCATTGACAACAAGATTTGGCCATAAAAGTGAGTTGTCTTCTATGAAACTGACAGAAAAGGTGACTTATGTATGCAAGTTGACTTAACAAATCTGCACTGTTGACAAATTGCAGCATCTCTCTTTAAAGAATGTGCATTTGTGCTGCACAAATCAGAGAAAGAAGAATTATGGCTACTTTGTCTTCAGGCTCTTAGCAGATTCACATTCCACTTCTTTTGTTCTGTACAGTACAGATGATCTTTCTCTTTCAATTTCTACTCCATTGCTCTTCAGTCATAGACTTTTTGAATCATTTCATTCATTTTGTTTCACCACATATTTTACAATGGTGACAAGAGATGTATTTCTTTGAGATAATAAATTCAGTTCTGGCCAGGCATTACTCAATTACTTGATCGGAATAAGAACTACAGTCTGTTATTCTGATATCCTGTTCTTACATCCTGCAAATCCTGCAACAGACTAAAGTAGCTGAACAATAATTGAAAGCAAGAACACTTATTTGCTTCCTATAATATTTTTATGCCACCTTTTAAAATATATCTAGTGGGGAAAAAGGTGTTTGGCAGATATGTTGAGTTACACTACTAATTCCATTTTAATATATTAATATACATCATTCCATTTTTTTCTTTTAAATATGAAATTGAACAGTTACAGTGAGAACTTTAAAAAACATAATAATTAAAGGATTTATAAATATTGATTTGTACTATTAATAGTATGCATTGATCACACTTCCATCAGATTACCACCAGGAGGCATACATAGTCCACTCCCTTACTGGAAGTTTATAGATGGAAAATATGTTTGTCTGTGGTAACCAAATATTAAAAAAAACTGGTAACACCTTTGATTGGCTGATTATGTGCCATCAAGTTGGTGTCAACGTTTGGCAACAACATAGTTTTCCATGAACAATGTTATCAAAACTTATGCTTATTCCTTCTAATAACGTAGTCTATAAAGGATAGTACCAGACTCCTTCTTAATTTCCTTATTAGAGTGATAGAAATAAAATTGAAGGCCCAAATACAAAAATTGGTATGCTAATTTTAAAATAAATGTTCATTTTTAAACTTAGTCCCTTTAGAATCTGAAATTATTTTGTCATTTGACATTTAGTTTTTCTAAATTTCAGAAAAGCATGGAAATTTACCTACTCTATTGCATATTCCATTTCTGGAAGAGAATGGATACTATGGGTGCAGTTGAGGTTTATCCAGGCAATGAGAATTGTGCAAGTTTATTTTATTGGAAATAAAATAATCTACTTACAAAAATTAAAGTAACTAGTACATAAGCTAAATACATAATGCATCACATTTTAATCAGTACATATAAAAACTATTTAAGTGTTTTAAGTGCTACCCAGATGTGGGAGCTTAAAGACAATTCCAGTGAGTTCCCCTTTTTTTGTATGGTCTCACTTACGGTAACATAAGTGCTCCCCATACAAAACACTGATATTTTTAGTTCCTAATATGCTTTTCATGATCTTTTTACCTATACTTAACTATATTTCATTCATCTAATCCAATTTCCTAAGTATACACATAAACAACTCCGGACAAGTTCACACACCTAAATGGGTTTGCTTCTTTTGTGGCCCAGTGTGCCATGCAAGTACAATTTAATACAGTAGATGTTAAGACTCAACAATACTTTACAAACTGGGCATTGTCTTGGGTAAATCTAAACATTTCTTCTAGTAACCTTTGCCCTAAACTGTCATGTGTAGTTATAATTACAGGAAGATTGTTGTATTAAATTACATTTGCCTTTGGTTTGTATTTGTATTGGAATCAAGTTTGAATGTAAATAATCTGCATCAGCAGCTGCCTGGCAATAGTTATACAAGTTCTCCATGTAAGTTGTCTCCACAAAGACAGCATTAAACTTGTAACATTGATCAGATTTAACCTTCTAGAGCAAATCTG